TCATTTCTTGCCTAACTATAATTTCTTGTACCCATAGGCTTACTCGTACAAAATGGAGTTAGCAATGTGCATAATAACAGTCTTTTCGATATCTTTACTGTGTTATGTTGTGGCAGATCTGGATTCTCCATTCAATGGATTTTTCAAGGTATGTTGTTATAGTTTATTGTAACATGCAACGATGATACAGTGAAGGCCATGAAGCTGCACCTTAGCTTATAGAAATATTTATAAAAATGTGTAAATACCAATCAGCTCTTATTCAAATTCAAATATTTGATTGCCGCGAAAACTATTCCATTGTTTGCGCCCCTAATATGCGCACATGCATTCACGTGACTTAGTAACTACGATCGTCCAGTTATTCAAAATGAGGCACTTGGTGATCGGATAATGATGACTAACTCATTAATATTAATTTGAACGATGATGTCACAATACTATTCCTGGATTTGTCAATTGTATTGTTCTTTTGCATAACAAAAAAATAGATTGTGATGAACACAAACGTGTGTGTTGACCAATATGTGTGTTCAATAATTGCTCCCCGTCATATTACGTCCTGACATTGTAATCTCAAATTCAATAATTTTGAAAATATCGTAATTAAATCACACGTTAAATAAAATGTAGATAAAACTTCCCAGCAATTTCAGAAATTTAACGACCAATGAAATGCTATGCTTTAACTTTCAAAAAACATTACAAAACACATATGCAAATACTAGTATTAAGCAAAATACCCACCATGCTTGCTCTTTTTTTTAGTGGAACGCTGCAGACCATCATTATTTTACATAACATTCAAAATAAAACTATAAGAATGATATCAGAGAGCAACAAAATATTACATTTCTTTCAGATTAACCTATCATGTCTGCATGAGATCATTGACAAATCTGAAGATATGTATTTATGTGCACTGGACAACAAGGACCCATACCAAATTCGAGCTGATGAAATCTGGCAGAATATCATAGATATCCATGGCAACGAACAAGGTGATGATGATGATGAAGAAGAAGAATCTAATTCATGATTGTACTGTAAAAACTCAACTCATTATTAAAATATAATTTGGCCAGCCATTTTTCGAACAAAACACAAAAAATAAACTTAGTTTTCAACTAATAAAGTTAGTGTGACTAATTTATTTTGTTTGTATTGCAAAGGTTTTTACAGCATCATAGCAATTCATACAAGATAACAAATAAAAGGTGTGCAAAGGAAAATAAACCAAAAATATACAAGTTGTACAATACATCAGATACCAGTAGGTACGTCCCAAGCATGTTTTCAATTATGCAAGCCACAGGTTTTTCATTTTTACTAGGCACCAAACGTAAATAACACACAGTAGGAAAATGAGAAAAACAATTTTTTTTTCTACCATAAAAGTCTTGTTTTTAGGATCACTGTCATCACTGTTATGTTTTACATCCAATTTTGATTTATTAAAATTGGCATATTTAAATCGTTGGATGGAAAGTCCCATGTATGTATGATTGTTCTCCCTGCCCTAAATGGATGAACATTCAACCACAATTAGTATACCGATATGTCACATACTACTTTGCATGTTCAAGGCTATAAACAAATTATATTCAATAAGATAACCTTAACATATTGACTGCCAAAGTACATTATCACCTTTCAAAAAAATAAAATCAAAATAATTTTTTTTTTATAATTTTTCCAAAAATTTGATAAAGACCTGTAGTCATTAGGATAATATGTAAATTTTGTTCAAAATTATATAAAAAAAAATACATGAAAACAGGCAAAATGCTGCACCAAAATCTGGGTAAGAAAAATTATGACATTCAAAAGACTAAAGTGTAGTTGTCGTCACGCAGCGCATGTTCATATTTTATGACAATAAATGGGATCCATATCTAACATAACGCAACAACTGACAGCTCTACAAATTAATAGATATAAGTTGACAAGTCATTAAATTCATTTATACCATGACAGAGATTGACACAATAGTCGGTTGACCATAGAATCCCCTACCATAGACATTCTAATTAGACAGTTTATCATTTTTCCATGTTTTCAGGTGTTTCTTTTCTCAGAGAATGATGCAATAGTTTTCCAAACATGTAATTGAATGGGTGCGCATATTTGGCGAAACGTCCACTTCCATTCTTCTTGCAACCATGTCTGCACTACATCAGTTTTCACACACTTCACAGTTGGAAATTTCTTTTTAAATGATGAAATGGTCAATCTCATCGCAGTACTGACCTCTCTGGTACCTGTACTACTAAAAGAAATCAATCAAAATATACTACTAGTATTACCGTAGCCGCCTGGGCACTTGAATCATAAATTGAAATAAATATGTGTTTGCTTGTTTTTTTGAAAGGGCAGAAGTTTTCACTATTAAACTCGATAGTAAATACCATAAAAATGCATATTAGCATGGATGTATGACCAACTTTTTTTCAATTGTATTTTTCAGTAACCATATTTTTTTTATCCATAGTTTTATGAACAATAGCATAAGATTCTGATGATCTGTTTTAATGATAACCAACCTTAATGTCCTATATTATCAGCAAAACGTGAGTTGTAAGCCCCTTCAATTTTTAGTAACTTGGCCGAAAATCAAATCAGAAAGTTATAGTGTTATATTGTGCTTCTTATTAAAAATCTTTTCTGTTTAAAAACGGACATTAGCCAAATATTGGACGAAACTAAAAGTTCAAGAGGGCCAAGATACCCAGGAGATTAACCAAGAGCAAACTATTTTGTGTATTTCGATCACAAATACATGTATGTATATGTATTTTTAAAGTAAATGAATGGCGATCAAAATATTTTCGGGAATTATTCAAGGTTTATAATTTTTACATTTCATGTATATTAATTTCATCGAAAATTACACTTTATCGTCGCCAAGAATGGAATTGCCTGTTTCGATTTTACATATAAGTAGATATCATGTGAAGTCCAACAAGTCCTAGGGTCAATAGTATCATTGTGTTTTATCAAAATGTCAAAAAGTTGTTGTGTGCCCACATGTACTAACACTAAATTAAAATTTCCTGAACTTAACTTCTACATTATTCCAGTTGAATCTGATAGAAGGAAGAGATGGCTTCAAGCAAACAAAAGAGTTAATGATAATAGATCTGTAAGCAAGTCTAAGGTTTGGTCACCAAAGTCAAACCACGCTTATGTTTGTTCATAGCTTTTTTTTTATCTGGTGAGTTATCCTAAATGAACACATTTTATGGTTCTATATTTGTTTCAACTTTCTGGGAAGTCTTGTGAATCTTGGTTATTTTCCAACGCTGTTGATCAATAAAAGAAAAATAAATGCAATTTTATACTTTGCTTCGTCCTGTACTTTATTTGTCTGGAAAGGGACATATTCACTGGCTGGTTAAAATTGTTCCAAAATTTGATACACAAATTGTAATTAAAGTTTTTCATTCTTTCATGTCTTGCTAATTTATTGCAGGTAAAAGAAGCAATGAACAAACACACACAGATTTTATACCATCTGTTTTCCCACACCTGACAGAAAATACTACAAATTCCATATCAAAATCAAAACTGGATCGTCACCAAAGATTAAGTCACAGAAACAGTATTGGTAAATAATTTAAGGTATTAGTAGTTTGCTACCATTATTGTCAGAGTTCCTCACAATGATTCTATTTCAAAATAGATATATTTATCCATCATGATATATTGACCCATAAACAAAGATTTAAAATTAAGAGACCACCCAAAACGAAAGAAATATTGCAGAAACTAATCTAAAATTGTATACATTTTGTTTCTTGCTGGATTAAAAAGTAGACCGCCTTAAATTACAATGTCATCCAGCGCATTTTTCTCCAAATTGTTGCGCCAAATACAATTATTTTTGTCATTTTATTAGTGTATTCTAAAAGAAGTTTCAAATAAAAACACAACTGCATTGCCTAGCAAATGATCGCGGTAGCGCAATTCGGCCATACTGCGTTTCACAATTGTTGATTATTACCTAGTAATGATTATAGTAACGCGCAAAAAATAAATTCGTTGAATTGTTATGAAATGTAAATAAATTTCAACTTATTTCATCGTAGGCGAATAATTCCGGTCGATTCGATGCTGTAGAAATGAATATCCGCCATGTTTTGACCTGTGACGATGTTCTTTGACCTGACAGGTCAAATAACTAATTAACCAATGAAAACGATGGATGATTGAACGCAACACGGAAGAGATTTTGGCTTAGATTTTGATGGGAAAGCAGCATGATTTGTTTTTTAAATAAAAAACAATAAATAATTTCATAATAATAATTTCATTGTCGAAACGAAGCTTGCCCATTCACGCTAGTCGCAATAAACATCATACTCGTGAATAGGCGTCAATGACTACGATGAAACTTTTAGGCAACAGAAAAGATTTAAATATCACCTTAAAAAACCGCCGAAAAATCGTTTAACGGCCCGGGCAAATTTACGACAGAATCCGGTAGTTATAACACACGCCATTTATTGTGAAGGATTCAATCAGGTAGATACAGTACAATATGTTGAAATAAGTTGGTTGCTACATGACAGCCTCACGGCTACACCTGGGGATACATGTTAATGGATAACCACGACTGACCAAGATGACCGACCGACGACGAAGACCGACGCCGAGAACGAAAATGAAATCACTTTTTATAGGGAAGGGATCAAGGGTCATGATATTCGTGATGTAATTACATTGGGCAAGCAGACTACGTAAATATAACTATTTGGCTTACTGTGGGTATAGTAGTTGTATTGAACTTGCATTAATGGAGAGCTCACAATCAATACCAAAGTAATAAAACATCAAGACAATTGAATGTTAGGTAACGCTTGGTAACTTTTCCAAAACAAGTCATTGAAAATGACACAGTCCCCGTTAATTTTTTGAAAGTTTTCTTTGTGTCATATTAAAGCGGAGGGGTTGTCGCGAGCGTGTCCTTGAAACTTGAGTGGCGTGGCGTATACAACAGATTGTTTATTTACATCAAAACATGTGTTCCGTGTAGTAGTAATATGGCCAAAAATAAAAACAGCTGTTATTTGGCCATCTTTGATCTGATTATGAAACACACTGATATGTATGATGTATGTGCCAAATACGAATGAAAATGGTACATAAATTGTGGAAATATAGTAGTAAGGCCAAAAAGTCAGATGGCTGTCAAACGGCCATCCTTGACCAGATTTTGAAACAAATTGTCATGAACATGCATCCTAACATGTATAAAAGTACATGTATGTGCCAAATTTGAATGAAAACTGGCAGGGCACTTCCAATATACCGCATAAAAAACAAGATGCCTGCCAGTCGACCATCTTTGATCCAATTGCGAAATATATCGTCATGGACATGTATCCTAACATGTATAATCTATGTATCAAGTTTGAATGACAACTGACAAAGCATGTCCAAAATACAACATCGAATCTCTAAACCACTGCATGTGCATATGTCCCACATGAGGTACTAGGCACATGGGAAGAATGAACGGAATCGGTCCACAGGATTCTGAAATATGACTCTGGACAGACTGACGCACGAACGGACGGACACACGGGCGGACGGACAAACTCAGGAGCTCACGGACGGTCGGGGACATGTATCTAACATGTATGATCTATGTACTAAATTTGAATGAAAACTGACAAAGCATGTCCAAAATACGTCATTTTCAAAAAACAAGATGGCTGCCAGTCGGCCATCTTTGATCCAATTGTGAAATAAATCGTCATGGACATGTATCATAACATGTATAATCTATGTACCAAGTTTGAATGAAAACTGGCAAAGCATGTCCAAAATACAACGTTTTCAAAAAACAAGATGGCTGCCAGTCGGCCATTTTGAATTGAATCGCTAAACCACTGCATGTGCATATGTCCCAGATAAAGTACTAGGCACATGCAAAGAATGAACGGAATCGGTCCAAGGGATTCTGAGATATGACTCCGGACGGACGCACGGACGGACGCACGGAGACTAATAAACGCGTATGACTGGGACTTCACGGTGGCCTAATATACGGTTTAAGAACATTCAAGTGTATCCAGC